AAGATGTGCTAAATTTGGTTTTCTTCCTTTTAGCAGCTCATATGGTGTTTTATTTAACACGGATATGATCATACATCTGTTTATTAGATAGCATCCTGTGTTCACTGCTTCAGCCCAATAGAATTTTGGAAGTTTGCTTGAGATTAACATTGTTCTTGCAATATCTTCCTGTGTTCTATTTTTCCTCTCAACTACACCATTTTGTTGTGGTGTTCTAGGTGCTGAGAAGTTATGCTCAATCCCATTTGTAGTACAAAATTGTAGGAATTGTGAGTTCTCAAACTCCAGCCCATGATCAGATCTGATGCTAATTATTTCTTTGTTGAATTTTTTTCTGAAACAGCTTTGCAAAGATTTCAAACATAGTGAATGTCTCATCCTTTGTTGCAAGAAACAATGTCCAAGTGAATCTTGAGTAGTCATCAACTATTACAAACACATATCTTTTTCCACCCCTGCTTTGTACACGCATTGGTCCACACAAATCCATGTGGAGCAGTTTTAGTGGCTTGGTAGTACTCATTGTCAACTTTGGTTTGAAGGATGATCTAACCTATTTTCCTTGAATGCAGGTTCCACATACTTGGTTGTCCCTGAAACTTTTGGTTGGCAGTCCCCTAACCAGGTCTTTAGATATGAGTTTATTTATAGTTGTCATGCTAATGTGTCTCATTCTTTTGTGTCATAGCATGGAGCAATCAGAGACTGCACTTAGACATTTAAGAGTATATTCCTTGGAGTCAACAATCTTGGCTTTGTACACATTCTTGTGTCTCTTACCTAGTGGAACTAGGTTCCCAGTCACTGAGTTTGTTACTATGCATTCCTTTTCTGTAAAGAGAACATTGTTTCCTTTATCACATATTTGAGATACACTCAATAGATTATGTTGTAGGCCATTCACATAGTATACATTCTCAATTGCATGAGTATCCATTGATCCTACCTTTCCAATTCCCTGAATTTCCCCACTTTTTCCATTACCAAAGGCAACGTTCCCTCCTTTGATGTTCTTGAGTGAGAGGAAGCTTCTTTTATCTCCAGTCATGTGTCTGGAACATGCACTATCCAAGTACCATTTTTGTTGCTTCCTCTTCACTGATCCCTGCAGTTTAATTTTGGGGATTAGATTTTGGTACACAAATCCACTTTGATTTATGCTTAGAGAATAGATGAATAAGATTTTTTCTGGCCCATCTAGGAAGAGATTTGACTGTAGGAATTTGTTTTTGCTCATTGGTTTTCTCATGATGAGGTTTTCTCAAAGATTTCAAGTTTTTGTTATGAGCAGTTTGTTTTCTTTGACAATCATGACTTTTATGCCCTACCAGCCCACAGTGCATGCATAGACAATCTATGTTGGGATTTTTTACTTGAGAGCTAATTCTATCAAAACCTATCACATGTATCTCAGATGTACGATTCTTGTGAATGTTGTTAAGCAATATGGAGGACCTGGTCCATCTCATTCCATTGTCAGCTTCAGTTTTAGTCACAAGAAACTCTTTGGAGAGTGCTTCATTCCTTTTAGTTACCAAGTCTAGGTTTTTACTTAGTTCAGTATTCTTGGATAAAAGATGAAGATTTTTTTTTCAAGATTCTTGTTTTCTTCTCTTAGTGATGCCTAGTCTTCCATTATCAATTCCCTTTTTGAGTCTATGGTTTTATATGCATCAATGAGAGTGTAGAGTAAAGATTCTAGCTCCCTTTTTGAGTATGAGTTAAGATTGTTTTGTATGTGATGAAGACTAACCTTTTCATTCATATCTTCTTCTTCTTTATCCTCTTCAGAATCTGATCCAGCCATGAGTGCTAGTATGGTTTCTTGTGATTGCAGGTTTCCTTTTCTTCCTTTGTTTCCACTGCTACAAGAGCAAGAAAGTCATAATCATCTTCTTGTTCTAGTGCAAGAAGGGACTTGTTTTCTGTCTCATCACCCTCAGACTCTTCATCAGAAGAATTCCCCATTGCTGCAAAGGCCCTTTTCATTGAGATATCTGCCTCTTGAGTTGTCATTCTTTTGTTTGAGGGGACAAACTTATCTTTCTTGATGTCTTTGCCCTTCTCAAAGTTTGCCTTTTTCTGCTCTAAAGCCCAAGTGGACAGAATTTGATGAAGTGATCCGGGCTCCCACACTTATGACAAACCTAGTCTTTAGTGTTTTCATATGGTTTTTGAGGAGTTTTCTTTTGAAAGGTCTGCCCTCTCTTTAGCATTCTGGTGAACCTTTTGGTTATAAGGGCAATATTTTCATCTTCAAGATCATCTAATGCAGTAGCCTTTAGAACCAGGTTCCTTTACTTCCTTTTTTCTCCGATTTCCTTTTCTTGGTTTTTCTTGAGTTTATATGTGATGAGATTACCAATTAAATCATCCATGGCCAGTGACTCTAGGTCACAGGCTTCAGTGATAGCCTCGACTTTGCTTTCCCAAGTTTCAGGAAGGACACTCAAGAGTTTCCTTACTGCCTTTCCATTAGGAACTATCTCTCCCAAGGAGTACATCTCATTGATGATGGAAGTGAACCTGGTGTGCATGTCTTGTATAGTCTCCCCTTCTGCCATCCTGAACAGCTCATATTGCCTGTTCAAGTTATCAATTTTGGACTTCTTGACTTGCGTTGTTCCTTCAAGAGCGGTTTGTAGTGTTTCCCATATGGCTTTGGCATCTTGACAAGATGAGATTCGATTGTATTCGTCTAGTCCTATGCCACAGATCAAAATTTTCTTGGCTTTGGCATTGTTTTGGATTGCAAGCTTGTCTTCAACCTTCCATTCTTTTCTTTTCCTTTGGAATTTTGGTGATTCCATCAGTTGCATTTTTCATAGGTATAGTTGGTCCATCTAGAATTACTCCCCATAGATCAGGGTTTTCGCCAATAAGATGGTCCATCATACGATTTTTCCACCATCCATAGTATTTTCCATTGAACAGAAGTGGTCGTGTTTGTGAAGCTCCCTCTTGTGGGGTATGTGGTGTTGTCATTGAGTCTTTTCAAGGTGTGAATCTTTTATCGAAAAGACCTTCTCTGATACCAATTGAAGAAACCTATCCCCTAGAATAAGAACCAGGTTCTTGTAAGTTGCTTTTAAGTAAAGACACAAACACTTATTAAATTAAAAACCTTCCTCACTAAAGGAAGGAAAAATCTCGTTTTATTAATTCAACTAAAAGATTTTGTGATTACTACTCAATAATCAAAAAGCCTTACCACTACTAACTCTCTCGATTGACTACAATCGATTACTTCTACTCTCCAAAAGGTCAAACTCACCTTGTGTTACAACCCTCACTGAAACTCAACCCTACAAGAAGCCAAACCCACTCCTTGTACAATAACTCGTAACTTACAATCAAGAACGAAACAACAAGATAGTTTTACACGTTTAAAACTTTCTCACTCAAGAACTTTTTAAACTTAGCAAACCTATCGATCTTGAAGACTTCTACTCGATGAATAATTCTCACTTTTCTCTCTATGTGAAGTCGTGATCTTCTATTTTGCGTATGTCCTCTTTTTATAGATATTCCTGCTACCTTATATCCTTATTAATTAAGGTAAGGAAATTGTAATCATGGTTGAACAAGGAGTACTAATTTTCCTTTTTATTGTACAATCCTTTTTCTATACTTCCTTATTTAATATATTAAGGTTTCCTTATTTGTCTCAACTTGTACCTTCAATATATTATTTTTGGCTTTGACAAATAACTCTATTTCTTGACTACGTGGCTGCATCATTTTGCTACTTTATTTTGTATCACTTTGGCTGTTGCTTTGCTGCATTAATTATTTTGCGTTTCTTGTCTATCATCAAAACATTGATTTCGATTAACTCTATTTCTTGAAGTAGAATTATCGGTTCTATCGATATTGTTGTACCACTATTGTGATGTTGAGAGGAAATAGGGAACGGGTTACACATTCATGGCGGATTCATTGAGAGGAAATAGGGAACGGGTCACACATTCATGGTGGATTCATTTAGAGGAAACAGGGAACGGATCACACATTCATGGCGGATTCATTGAGAGGAAATAGGGAACGGTCACACATTCATGGCGGATTCATTGAGTGGAAATAGGGAATGGCCAACACATCCGTGGCAGATTCATTGAGATGAAATATAAGGAGCCCTAGTCAGTCTTCGTTATATCAAGATGCAGCATTATGTAACTCTCATGTAAACCTATACCAAGTTCTAGCAAGCATGATGCTTGTTTGGCCATAAAATGGTGCATTTCTCTATGCTTGCAGCCAGTATATACTGATAGAGCTGTTAATTATTCATTTGTTTTATGAGACTGTCGATTTAAGGATTGGTCTAAAATTCAATGTTAATGATTTCACTTTGTGCGTTGAAGCTTCCATACCCATCATTTCTTATCTAATAAGTCTTTATCCTCATACTTGTTTTCTTATTAAGTCAAGACAATTTCTATGATATAATAAAATAAAAGTATTCTAGTGCTTAAGTTATTATTATGAGCATAATGTACAAGTTAACTAAAATTTATATTAGTATATAAAAATGAAATCTTAATTTTTGGTTAAATTAATCCCAAAAAATGCATGTATTAATATTTGGCGACTTATAACCCAAGCAAAATGAAGCAAGTAAACGCTCAGCAAGAAGTCAATGATTTGTTCATTAAAGCTGAAGCATTTTAAACAAGTTCAAAACTGGATTATACCAGATATCTTTCAACAAGTATTCTTCCAAATCAAAGGAAAAAAATATAGAGGTGATCCCTCCACTTGTTTCCAAGCTTCTTGCACCATCTTCATATAATCTAAATGGACAACTTAATAATAAAAAGTATTAAGACAAATGATGTTGCTAACACAATTTATTTCTAACATTCATAGGTACTTATTGTTATTCACTTTAATATATATAGGTCACCCTACATACATAAAGATGATATCTTGCATATTGAAATTATAAGTAAAAACAAAGCTAAAACATCAAGTCTGTAATCTTTAAAATGGACCAAATATAAAGAAACTAGATTTTTAAAAAAAATGTTTGTTTGTCACTCATGGATCAATCTAAATTTAAAAGTCATCTCCACCGAAAGCCTCATTGAGGAAAACATCGTCCCATTCCCATGCATCATTCTCATGTGTTGTTTCAGCAAAGTATTCATTGTTTCCCATGGTATTCTCCTGATGATTGTAACAAAATATTTAAAGTGAGTTTTGTGCGAATAATATTACAAATATAAATTTATAATAAAAAAATAAATAAATTTAATTGATCAATAATAATAAAAATATGGTTTTGAACTAACCTCCATAGGAAAGTTAAGCTCGTTAACATTAGAAGCTATCGCATCACTTTGAATTGAAGATTGATCATTTGATTGAATGATGTGATTGATGTTGTTGTTATTATCCAAGTTGATATTCCAATTTGAATGGTCATACTCCAACCCTAATTGGGAGGGAGTGTTCAATTGTGTACCCGTATTCACGAGTGAACTCGAGTCATACCTGAAAGAAACAATGTTAAAGAACTACAATACCAACAAAACTATTAAATGTATTTCATTGACTTAATGTATATCATATTATTACTATTTATGCAGTCTCTTTTATCATAATAATTTGACCTTGTATAGAGTTTAGATGCATTGATCGTTATAATTCTAATGTCATCATATTTTTAAGAAGATAAAATATTATCTTGCAAACAATGATTAAATGCATGAATATCGAAAGAAACCTTGTGGAAGCGAAATCATTGTGCCAGAACTTTGTGAGAGAGTTGTCACTACTTTCACCAAATGTCAGTTGTGCCTGCAAATTATTAGTTAACTACTTTAGTACAAGGGCGGGCACTGAAGGGATAAGATTTTTTTTATGAATAACATCTCAAAAATATTAATGTACCTCTGACAATCCAAATGTTTGTGCTGATTTGTGCTGGATATCTACTAGCATGTTCTGTTGTTGGTTCTATTGTACAGATATAAATAATTATATCAAAATTAAAAAAAATATCTCACCTCTTTAAGAAGATTTTAATAATAAATAATATTTCAAGAATATTAATTTACTTGTGATTGTCCAAGTGCTTGTGTTGAATTTTTAAAAAAAAATCCCATCTCTTTAAGAAGATATTAACAAAGAATATTATTTCAAAAATATTAATTTACCTGTAATTGTCCAAATGTTTGTGTTGAATTCTGTTGGACATCCACTACCATGTGTTGTTGATGGCTCTATTCAACAGATAAAAATAATGGTATCAACATTCCAGAAAATATTTCATCTTCTTAAGGACATCTTAACAAAAAATGATATTTCAAGAATATTAATTTACTTGTGATTGACCAAATGTTTGTGTTGGATTCTTCTGGACACCTACCACCATGTTTTGTTGTTGGCTCTATTTTACAAACAAAAATAATATTAAAATTCAAAGAAAAAATCTCATCTCTTTAAGGAAATTTTAGCAAGGAATAGAATTTCAGGAATATTAGTGTACCTGTGCTTGTCCCAATATTTGTGTTGGATTCTGTTGGATATCTACTTCCATGTTTTGTTGCTGACTCTAGTGTTAGGGTAAAAATTATTATATAAAATTCAAAAAAAAATATATAGTCTATTTAAGGAAATCTTTACAATCAAGAATATTAATGTACTTGTGGTTGTCCAAAAGTTTGTGTTGGATTCTGCTGGACATCTACCATCATGTTTTGTTGTTGACTCTATTTCGCATATAAAATAATATATCAAAAAAATAAAAATAAAAATCACATATCTTCAAGGAGATCTTAAAAGGAAATAGTATTTCAAAAATATTAATATACTTGTAATTGTCCAAATATTTGTAATGAATTCGCATGAACATCTACCATCATGTTTTTTTGCTGGCACTATTGTACAAATAAAATAAAGCATATCAAATATTTGAAAAGAAAATATCTCAATTTTTTAGAAGATCCTAAAAAGTGTTACCTGCAATGGGGTAAAAGGTGATGGGTTTCGAGAAATTGGCATATTTCCTAAATGTGAAGAACCAGCGAAGGAAGGGGTATATGTGTAATTGCTAGAACTGTTTGCTACTCTCTTTCCTTTGTCCATCCAGTCTTGATTTTGAATAGTTGAACTGCAATAGTAATGAAATAATGAAACCAAAAGGAGAAAGGAAAGGGATTTTTTTCAATTATGTGAAAAAAGTTAATAACCTGAATGGACTAATCCAATTATTAGTATCAAACTGGTGAGGAGCCATTTGTTGTGCAACAGAGTGAACATCCATATTTCCTTGTTTCTCCAATTTCATCTAATCAAAATGCATTTGATATTAGTTGCGATTTTACATTATTTCTAAGAAAAATAAGTATTTTCTTGAAATTATGATTTCATATTATTCGTCAAATGACAAATCAAGGAAAATTAAATGGTGGAAGAACAAACTTTTCTGGCCAAGATTTTTTGAAGGGAGTGTTTCAAGTTACTCTCACACCAACGTAGTTGGTGAAGAGAAGGCTCTTGTTCTGCTCCTGTTTCGTAATCCCTGCATAATCATATTGTTAGACATAATATATTGACAACCACTTAAACTTAGTAGTGTATTACATTTAGACAAGTGAAATATTCTATAATATAAAATGAAAAATAAAGGTGATGTCAATAAGTGAAACCATGAGACTATAATTAAGAAAAACACTTGTAATACTAAATTAAATGACCTTATGTTAGCATCCACAATTTGTAGCTCCAATGTGCTCTTCTTGATTTGTAGCTCCAAATTCTATATTAAAAAATTTCAAGTTAAAATAACATTATCAATTTTCGTCATTGGCTCTAGAATGATTTATTAACACTTATTTAGACAATTCTTAATTTCTATTTCAAGTCACACCTAATTAACACACTACTAATTAGAATAGCAAGGGTAGATTGAAAAGAGAAAAAACAACTCATAATAGAGACATCAAATTAAGTTTTGCTCACCTCAATTCTGTAGAAATTAAGACACCGGCGATAGGTTGAAACATCCAAAGACAGCCATCATGATAAAGTTTAATAATTAGTGAGAAAGACCTGAATTTGACTTAATACAAAAGAAATCAAGGATGAAGTACTAGGTCTAGGTTGTATCTAACATTCAATAAATCAAAATATTGTAACGCTTGTATAACTCGACATATTTGAGTTTGTTCATATTATTAGTCTCAAGTCTAAATAATACAGCAGGGTTGTTGATGTCTGATGGTCAATCAAAAATAGTTTCTTCACTCTATAAAGATGGAATCAAGGTTGAGTATATCTTACTCTCCTTATATCTTATTAATAAGATTATATCGAGTTTGTTGTTGTTGGTGGTGATTGTGTCAAACTTATACACATGCCTGTATATATTTTTCCTTAGTCAAAATAGATTTTGCTAATTATGCTTTGGCCGAATCTTAGATCTCTTTGGTCTGATATGGAGAGTATTAATAATAATAATAATAATAATAATAATAATAATAATAATAATAATAATAATAATAAAAATAATAATAACAACAATATGCATATGATAATTTAAGTTTATAAGTTAGTTAAATTTATTTATCTTCTGTATGAAATTGTCACCCCTATCAATTTATATATTTATATTTTATTAGCACCTTTAATTTAATTAAAGATTTTATTCATTTATCCGTAATATCTTTTCTAATTTTCAAAGTATTCTTTTAAAATAGAGCTTCTAATTCTCTTTTTATTCCATTTCGTCGTTCGTGAATCTTCTTAAAACACATACTTTTTAATTTTACATTTTTTGTAAATAATATCGTAACACAATATAATTAAAGACAATAAAGTAAACAAAGGAAAAAAGTGAGAAAGAGAGGAGATCCAAACTGTTTATCAAGAAGGTGCAGCTTGCTAACATCTCCTCTGATGTGATTCAATTGTCTCAATTTTTCCACCTTTTCCTTCATTAATATAACAAAAAAATGTATTAAAACTAATTTAAAATGGGTCAAACAGATATCAATAATTTAAAAAAAAATTATGACAACTCTCTCAATTATACACTTTTTTAATTAAGTCAAGCTTGTTTTGTTGAATGAATTAAAACAAGTCAAAAATCACTTAGTATTTCGTTAATTTTGAGAATGTTATTTTCAGAATCTTTTAATTAATACACGCTCAATTTCAATTTGTTTATCTGATTTCATCTTGATGTAATTTAATAAACTAATATCACTTTTGTATCTTACGATCTTAAACTAAAGAGAGATAGAATGTGTCAAAATAAACATGTGTTATGTGAAAAGTTAGAATTAAAAAGTTATCGAAAAAGAAAAAAAAGTTTTGATCAAAGATCGTTAAATGTCCTACATTGGTGAATAACTAAACTTCTGAGGGTATAATTAGTTTTGCCTAAAATTTAACTAAACATGGTATAAGAGTCAAACTTGATGTAGGCCTCAAGAAATGGAACAGTTGTGGGGGTGGAAATACACCACCACCACCACCCCCGTCCATAAACATCACACTCCGGATCGGACAGTGTTTGAATAAAGAATATCCAAATCTGGACTTAATAGGGTGTTACCATGAAATCCCACATAAAAATGTCTAGGTCTGGGTATGAGATCTGGTGTAAAGCGGTGATGAAGGAATGAAGTGTCCCACATTGGTGAATAACTAAGCTTCTGAGGGTATAATTAGTTTTTCCTAAAATTTAACTAAACATGGTATAAGAGTCAAACTGGATGTAGGCCTCAGGAAATGGAACAGTTGTGGGGGTGGAAATACACCACCCCCATCCATAAATATCACACTCCAGGGACAGTGTTTGAATAAAGAATATCCAAATCTAGACTTCATGGGGTGTTACCATGGAATTCCACATAAAAATGTCTAGATCTGGGTATGAGATCTGGTGTAAAGAGGTAGTGAAGGAATGAAGTGTCCCATATCGGTGAATAAATAAATTTCTGAGTTCCTTGGGTTACACAAAAGCCCTAACTTGACACATTCTTATTAAAATGTATAATAAAAAAGAAACAAATTGAAATGGGTAAGAACGAGTACTAATTTTCGTTTCAAACTTTAGCAAATTTCATCATCATATAAAAATTAGACGGATTAATCAACATTAATAGAAACAAGACATAATTTTAGAAAATAGAAAAGTCCTACAAATACATATAGATAATAAATATATAAAAGAGTAAAGTACCTTAACATCGGTCATGTGACTAGCCCCAACAAAAGAAAAAAAACTCATAAGTTAGTGCTACACTATATAAGTTACTAATAGCTAAATAAATATCAAGAAAATAAAGAAAATATTCGTGTACGTGAATCTCCGCTCAACCGGAAGCATAAGGTATCTCTGAAGCATATCTTCGACTCTACAAAAATTGCAAATTTAGTTTTTTTTAAAAAAGTTAATCAAGATAATAGTTTTATAGATTAATAACTAGCACGGCAAAATGGAGAATTCATATTTTTATTCGAAATCATAAATACAATACCTTTGTGGGCTACAGAATTTATTGAGACGACCAGAAGGCGAGAACGCGACAAACAACACATCCACGTCACAGCAAAACGCAATCTCCTCAGCTTTTTTTAATAAACTACTACGTCGCTTAGAAAATGTAACTTGACGTTTCGTTGTCTCTTCTATTTTCTTTATCTCAATTTTTCTACCCATCTTTAAAAGGAATCTCTTCTCTACCTCAAAGGGAACAATACAATGATTGAAAGAGCAGGCTCCAAAGTACCTAATTTATAAGGTCAAAAAAGCTATTTGGGTCAATATGAAATAAATAAAAAGTTGGTCAACCTCATCCAAACATGGTCGTGTGCATGTGTTATTAATTGTTGACTTTTGGACAATATTAGTCAACTGTTTGTCCTCTGCACGTGTGATTGCATTAATTAATTAATTAATAATAATAAAAAGAAAGTAGCTAATTTATAAGGTCAAAACGCTATTTGAGTCAAATGTTAAAATAAATAAAAAGTTGGTCAACCTCATTCAAATATGGTCGTGTGAATTATCATAACCAATTTGACATTTGGACAATATGAGTTAAAGTGTATGTATTTTGCATGTGTGTTTGCATTATTATTATTATTATTATTATTATTATTATTATAAATAATAATAATAATAATAATAATATATATATATATATATATATTAGGTAATTTACCTACGTTTCATGCGGGCATATGTTATTTTTATATTCTTTTGAACAATCTTTCATATAATTACTTTTATAAGGAAAAAAATGTAAATTATTGTAGTTTTTAGAACATTTCTAAAGAAATTAAATGATTTGACATTGGCATATATTTTAAAAATTGCAAATATATAAATATTGATTATAAAATATCTTGGTATCTAATTGTTTTTATATGTTACATAATTAATCATATTATATGTTATATGATATAATTGTCTTGTTAAAATTGATTGATGTTTTAATGTAGCGACTAAACATAATTTTTTATATTTTTTTAATATGAAAAATATAGAATCTTATAATTTTATGGTTAAAATAACTCGTGTAAATAGATTTATGTGAAAAATTTTGATGATAAATATGAGTTATAAATAAATTAAGACTGTTAAAAATTTACACTGCAACAACAAATAATTTTTTTAGAGACGATCTACTTGTGCGAGGTCAAATGTTCACCACTTTTCGTCATTATTAATTTGTTACTCTAACGACATTTAGAAGGAGAAAAACAAATTTGTAACAACAACAAAATTATATTGTTGACTCTTATAGAAATTCATTCATCATTAAATTGCCGAAGGCCCTTCGAATTCTTCATCAATGAAAATTTATGACTTTTGCAAGAATATTTACGTGTAGTTGTTGCATTATGAAAGTACAAATCGATAAACATGTTTGATATTAGACTCATTTTAAAAAAATATTCTCAAACATTTAAAAAATAAAAAAGATTCTAACCTAGATAATTCAAATGCTCAGGGAACATGAAGGATAACAAATATATGTTAATAGACATATCTTTAAGATATTACCTTTGTTTAGAGTAGGTTTTGTTTCATATTCATCAAATTAAGCTTGATGAAAATAATCACAACTTACATTTCGTAAAAGTCGCAATTCTTCATAAAAGTAACAACTTTTCATAAAAGTTGCAACTTTTCATAAATGTCACAACTTTTCATGAAAAAAGTTAAAATTTTTCATAAAAAGTTTTAACTTTTCATAAAAGTTATAATTTTTTATGAAAGAAGAAGGCTAGTTCTGGAAATAAAATAAATTTAAAGAGAATCCTTGCTTGTGGTGGCGCCACATAGGCATGACTAGGATATATATATATATATATCTTTCTAAAAAAATAATGAAGAATTTGAAAGATAAAAATATACTTAAAAAGAAACATTATAACTTACCCTTACATTAACAATTAATAAAAGAGAAAGTTATTTGTGTTAAATATGGAATAAATAAAAAGTTGGTTAACATCACCCAAACATGGTCGTGTGACTATATTATTAAACGTTAAATCATCATAAAGAATTTATATTCGGAAAATTAATTAAATACATGCATTATGCCCGTATATTTATAATAATAATAATAATTACATATACACACACCAAAAAATTAGTATAATTTTTTTGTAAAATAAATGAAGAATTTGAAAGATAAAAAATATATTTTAAAAAGGAACATCATAACTCAAATCACCCTGATAATTAATTAATGTTGTAAATCCATTATATATGTGGATGATCCATTAGAGTTATCCAACAATTAATTGGATTCATGTATTAGTGTTTCCAATGTGATAAGATTTCAAGTGATATGAACCTTGATGATAACTATGTATAATTCCAATGTGACCTTTGGCTATGATATCTCAACACTATAAATAGAGATATCATTCACCATTGTATGATACACTTGAATAAGAAAAACTCTCTCCTCTATCTTATACTTCTTGTCTTTTTCTTCTTATATTCTGAGCTTTCTTTACAATACGTTATCAGCACGAAGTTGCTACTTGCAAAGAAATCCCCATTTGTTAGTTGGATTCAAGATGAGTAATAGAGATGTATGTCTTCTTGATAGTGCTACAACGCATACAATATTAAAAGAAAAGAAATACTTTTCTAATTTGGTTATGAAAATGGCATATGTCAACACAATATCAAGTAGTACAAAAGTAATTGAGGGCTCTGGAAGAGCGACCTTATTACTATCTAGAGGGACAATATTAAGCATTGATAATGCATTATATTGTAGTAAGTCTCAAAGAAACTTATTCAGTTTCAAAGTAATTCGCCAAAATGGCTATCATGTTGAGACGGCTCATGAAGGAAATGTTGAATACCTTTACATTACTACAATTAATGTAGAGAAGAAAAGTGTGCATGAAAAATTACCTGCATTTTCTTCTGGGTTGTACTATACAAGTATAAGTACAGTAGAATCACATGCCGTAGTAAATAAAAGGTTTACTAATTTTATTGATTTTATCATTTGGCATGACCGGTTGGGCCATCCCGAATTTAATATGATGCGCAAAATCATTGAGAATTCACATGGGCGCACCTTAAAAAGCCCAAATATCCTTCAATCAAAGGAATTCTCTTGTGCTGCTTGTTCTCAAGGAAAGTTGATCATTAAGCCATCAACAGTTAAGGTTGGAATTGAATCCCTTGCGTTTCTGGAACATATACAATGTGATATATGTGGACCAATTCAACCTGCATGTGGACCCTTTAAATATTATATGGTCTTGATAGATGCTTCTACAAGATGGTTACATGTGTGTTTATTATCAACTCGCGACATGGCTTTTGCAAGATTGGTGGCTCAAATAATAAGATTGAAAGCACAATTTCCAGACTATACAATAAAGACAATCCGTCTAGATAATGCTAGTGAGTTTACATCTCAGGCATTTAATGACTATTGTATGTCTACTGGTATAACAGTTGAACATCCAGTTGCACATGTTCACACTCAAAATGCTCCAGCAGAATCATTGATTAAACGTCTGCAATTGATAGCTAGACCATTACTAATGAGAACAAAGTTATCTGTGTCTATGTGTGGGCATGCTATTCTGCATGCAGCAGCACTTGTGCGCATAAGGCCGGCCAATTATCATGAATTCTCCCCATTACAATTGACTTTTGGTCAACAGCCAAACATTTTCCATCTTAGAATTTTTGAATGTGCGGTGTATGTCCCAATTGCTCCACCACAACGCACAAAGATGAGGCCCAAAGAAGGTTGGGATATATGTTGGGTATGAATCTCCTTCAATTATAAAATATTTGGAGACTATGACTGGAAATTTATTTAAGGCAAGATTTGATGATTGTCATTTTGATGAATCAGTATACCCAACATTAGGGGGAGAACATAAGTCGTTGGGAAAAGAGATAGATTGGAATTCATCATCTCTATCTCACATGGATCCTCGAACAAACCAATGTGAGCAAGAAGTTCAAAGAATAATTTATTTGCAGAATATTGCAAATCAACTACCAGATGCATTTACTAATCTTGCAAGGATTACTAAATCGCATATTCCAACTGTTAATGCTCGAGTTCGAATTGATATCCCGACGGAACAAATTGTTAAGGCAAATGAGTGTAGACCACATTTGAAGTGTGGTAGACCAATTGGTTCCAAGGATAAAAATCCTCGAAAGAGAAAAGGAATAAATAATCAAGATGATCATGGGTTGAAGAAATTTCTCAAGATGAGACCCAAGTCATAACACATGATGATGAGGAAGTTCGAACTTCTGAAAATAATGAAATTTCAGTGAATTATGTATCGAAAAGAAAGTTGTGGAACCGAAATAATGTTGTGATTGACAACATATTTGCCTATAATGTTGCTATTGAAATAATGCAACAAGATGAAGATTTTGAGCCAAAATCTATTCACGAATGTACATATAGAAATGATTGGCCAAAATGGAAGGATGCAATTCAAGTTGAATTGACTTCACTAGAAAAACGTAAAGTTTTCAGACCGATAATTCGAACACCTGAAGGTATCAAGCTAGTAGGGTACAAATGGATTTTGTACGAAAAAGAAATGAGAAAGGTGAAGTCATGAGATATAAGGCCCGGACCTGGCATTGATTATATGGAGACATATTCTCCAGTGGTAGATGCAATCACCTTCAGATATCTCATAAATCTGGCAGTTCATGAAAAACTTGAAACGCGTCTAATGGACGTTGTCACAGCCTATCTATATGGCTCATTGGACCACGACATTTTCATGAAAATTCCTGAAGCATTCAAAGTGCCTGAAGCATACAAAGATTCAAGAGAAACTTGTTAATAAAGCTTCAGAAATCTCTGTATGGATTGAAACAATCAGGAAGGATGTGGCACAATCGTCTGAGTGAATATTTGTTAAATAAAGGATACAAAAATGACCCGATTTGTTCCTTCATTTTCATTAAACGGTCAGGGTCTGAATTTGTAATAATAGTTGTGTATGTTAATGATTTGAACATCATTGGCACTCGTAAAGAGTTGTTAGAAGCTGTTGAGTGTCTGCAAAAAGAATTTGAAATGAAAGATCTCGGCAAGACAAAATTTTGTCTTGGCCTACAGATTGAGAATTTGTCAAATGGAATACTTGTTCATCAATCAACGTACACAGAAAAAATACCAAAGCGTTTTT